CGCGGCCCTTTCATCAGCCCCACGGTGGAAAAGCCTTTTGTTCTCGCTCCCGTTGAAGGGGAATTTCCCGCATGTCCTTTGCCCGCTCGCTGGGCACCCCTGGGAAGAGCCTGGGTCCCTCTGGGAAGAGCCGAAGTCCCTTTTTCTCCTCCCCGTCCAGGTTTTGTGCAGAGGGCTGGGATCACCCAGGCCTCCTCCGCAGGCTGAGCAGTCCTGGCCTCTCCTTGCAGGCAGCCGAGCCCTCTTCTCCACCCCAAGTTTGGTGTCCACATCTCAGGTTGCTTCCCGTGGGAGCCACTGAGGGGCCCTTATGTTTAATAAGCTGCCTGGCTCCGTGGTGGCCCATAAAGCTGCTGCGAAGAGAGACAAACTGCTTCTTCCTCAACACTGCTCTAATTTTATAAAACCCTTATCTGGCCTCTCCTTGCAGGCAGCCGAGCCCTCTTCTCCACCCCAAGTTTGGTGTCCACATCTCAGGTTGCTTCCCGTGGGAGCCACTGAGGGGCCCTTATGTTTAATAAGCTGCCTGGCTCCGTGGTGGCCCATAAAGCTGCTGCGAAGAGAGACAAACTGCTTCTTCCTCAACACTGCTCTAATTTTATAAAACCCTTATCCCATGCACTTCCAGTGTTCCTTCGCCTACTGGCAAGTGTGGATCCCAATGCACCATGCGGAAGCCACTCTCCAATCCCGCCTCACTTTCGTGCTCCTTTCTGTGCCCTCCTAGGTCCTTTTCTGGACGGATCGAAGAATACAACTCAGCCCTATTCAAATCCCAGGTGCACCATACATTTATTTAATAGCTTTTATTTATTTAACAACAATCAGTGATGATTCCTGGGCTGCTCTGTCCTTAATTCCCAATGACCCCCAATATTCAGTTACCTTTCTGCCCACTAACAAACACTGAGCTGACATTGAGCTACACACCGATCTTTTAAAAACCTATTTGAGGTACCATTTCCTTTAACAAAAAAGTACGGATTTTTCCATGAGGTGTTTTGTTCCTTTGACCACTTCTGGGTTTTTTAGAACAGTTTCTTCCACCTTGTGCTGCATGGGTGTCAGGGCTATTCCTTTGCAGTCCCCCAAGTCTCCTTAGGAAAAATTTTTAAAGTTAGTGTCATATATATGACATATAGGTGACATAGGTGACATATGCCACCTTTGGAGCTTTTGGTGCTGACAGAGTTTGAGTTGCTATAGGAGTTAGCAGTGCAGCCAGTTCACCCTTGAAGGCCTTCAGGTCCCCTGGAGAAGACGATCTGCTCCTGCTGAATGGTGGCTGCTTGTGGTGCTCTTTGCTCTCTGCAACGTGATACAGATGCCACTTTTGGATGCAGATGTTTTAGCAGCTCCCCACATTGAACACAGATTCAGAACTGCATTTCCATTTCCCGCCTTTGCTTGTTTTTGTCTTGAGTTCTCCTGCTTTATCATGACGGTTCATTGGTCTCACAGATGTGGTCCCCGAGCTGAAAGAGCAGGTGCAGGATTGCGCTACTCAGAACATTTATTTGGGGTCCACCCCAAGATGCACAGTCGTGGTGATCCTCTAGCAAAATACATCCCTTTGGGCTGAGGCCGGCCACACCATCCCCGCGCTGGATGCCCTGCAGGCAGGTGATGCTGGCACCAGGGCTGGTGCTTTCCATGCTAGGCTGTCGCCTGTGCAAGCAGCATGACACCTCTCATCCCTTTGGACCTTTGGACTCTTCATTCCTGTTTCACAACCACCCTGTAGCAGTGTGCCAGATAAATAAACTATGACAGAAGATTCATGGAAATAACCAGATTTTTACCATCAGTGCAGTAAAAATATATTTATGATCCTGTTTGTAGAAAGTCATCTGCATTAGCTACTCCAGAAGGAAAATACCAAATAATTTGTTTTATTAACAGTGCATGTTTAAGTGGAAGACTTTAATTTTGTATGTGTACAGTTAGGGTTCTGTAAACGCACAGAAAGGAGATCTTAATGCTAGTGTTTCCATAAAATAGAAAGTTAAAAGGATTTAGAGTATCCGTCCTTGTCTGCTTGAAGGGCAGATTCAGAAAGTGATAGTGGAAGTGCTCACTGCTATGATGTAACTCCAGCTTGGGCTCAGCCCTGCAGTTCCGCCTCGGCGAGGCGGTCGGTGTGTGAGCGCACTTGCACGTGGCTGAGGAAAACAGAATCAGGAAACGACTGAGAAGCACCCAAGAAACTTCCACATTCATCCAGGGCACCATTAAGCTACATTAAGAGTGATGGGCAGCACCTGCTTTTGAAAATACTGCAAAATATGGAACTGGAAAAAAGAATTTTAAAAAACCCCACCAACTTGAATTTACATTGAAAGTCAAACGTGGATAAGCAGTTTCACAGATTGAAGTATGTGTCTGTTCTGGAGTTCCTCTGAAAGAGCTGTAGGTGACGTAAGCAGCTGGCTGGCAAGAATAAACATTATCTAATTAAAAAAGAGCTATAAACATTCAAGTATCACTAGGTCCAGCCTGATTCTGCCAAGTCTTCCTCACAGAGGGCAGTGGCAGCCTCACAGTGACCTGATCCTTCGTTGGGACTGAAGCGCTGCTTGGTGTAAAGAAGAGTTACAGAATCAGGAGCACAATGAGCAGCAATTACAAAACCAAATAACTTTTTCATTGATTGCTCAGGGTTAGATTTTTAAAGGGATTAGCAAAAGCAAATAGGAACTAACACCCACTGACCTTGGGTGCTAAGCTATATGGTTAGGTATCTAAATACCTTTAAAAATCTGTCTGCAGTGCACAGCTTCCTCATTTAACAGGGCAAAATAAAAGGGCATATCTTAATATCATTAGAATCCTTGAGCTCAGTTCTGCTGTCAGCCTGGCATAAGTCCGGTTTCCCTGTAGAAAAGCATGAGGAGTTGCAGATTGACATCTGCACTTTCAGAAACCAGCACGCTTAAGGCAGTCACTTGCAGTACTAACTGGTGTGAGCCCAGTGCCCATCTCGGAGCACACGGACACAATTCTGCCCTCTCCTTCCTGCTACGAAAACCCTTGGCAGCCGGTGCAGCTGCCAAGAGGTGTGGTGCTTCGTGGTTTGATCTTGGGCAAAGCTCAAGTGAACTTCAGAGGAGCAGAAATGGGGAGGAGTGGTGTGTGGCTCATGGAGTTTAACCCTATGGCTCACGTTCACTCTCATGAGCGCTGGCTACAGGGCAGGACCATCGACGAACGTCTCGCTTCAGTTTTCTTAGCAGCATAGAAGGAAATCTGGTGCAGCTCTGCAGATGATGCTGGAGGTGGGAATTCACAGGCAGTCCGCCAGAAGCGGGCTCTTGTCCTGCACAACACTGTAATAGATCCTGTTCTCTTGGCGTGTGAGGAGGCAGAAGAAGATTGATGTTGTTGTCAGTAGAACAAGTCCAATGAAGAAAAGGGCTGTGAATATCAAGCTGGCTTTTCCGAGACTCAAAGTTTTGCCAAAAAGACTGACTCCTTCCCTGTCATAACCTGTCAAACAAGAAGTAGTTTATGAGAAACCTCTGATTCAGTCTGATGAGTTTTATTTGCTGTTTGTAAAAATCCATACCCTCTTTATTGGTCCTGTTTTCTGTAGTAATAGTATCGTATGTGGCAGTTGTGAGTCCTCCTTCTAAAGGAGCTTTACGCTCTGTGCAGGGAAAGGAAAAGCTTAGTTAAGCTGAAAGCCTTATTACAAAGATTTTTTTTTTCATTCTGGAAATATAGCATGACATAATTCCTTCTACCTTGGTAATCTTAATAGAAATTTTGATTAGATCAGCACATTTTTAACAGATTGCTCTAGGTAGCTGTCTGAGTAAAGTCTTTCCCCATGAAGATCTCAGTTACTTCAGTTCTACATTTGCTTGTCCATTTGGCATGTCACAGTCAGAACACGTATGAGGAATATAATAAGTTCACCCTCTCCAAGGAAGGAACATTTTGGCAGCATCTGGCATTATCCTTGTCCCACTGCTAGGACAGGATCAGAGTTAGGAGGGCGCTTGCTGGGTGCTGCTGCAGCCCCTGCAGAGGAACGTAGCAAGAACTGACTCTGCTGTGCAGCTGGGGACCCACAACGGAGCTGTTGGAGCCCAAAATTCACTCAGTGAAATTGGGTGATGTGCAGAGGCCCACAAGCACTTTTGGCTTTATGTGCAAGTGTGCAAGGGAGTGGCCAAACCTACCCTGCCATCCCAAAAGGTAACCTCACCCATGAGAGCAAGTGTTTCCCACTTTTCTTGGTCAACGGATGCTTATTTCTTGGGGCAAAGGGGAGGCTGAACAACCATTTTCTGTAACCTGTTGCATCTTGATTGGTTCCTGGCTGTGTGGGAACATGCTCGAATACCCCATGGACAGGCAGAAAGGAACCAGCAGCATGCCCACCTGCTGGCTCCATGTGGTGGGGGTCCGCAGCTGCTAAAAGGCAGCTTGAGGTTCTCTTCTGCATCACCTACAGCTGGTCCACAGGCTACCACTTTCTTTGAAGGGGTTTTACGAAGCAGCGAAGCAGAAGCAGAGTTAGAGGTGGTTTCCCTGTCCCTAAATGATGCTAATTGGCAATTACAGGTGCCAGCTGGGCACAGCCAGGGTTCAGCACTGACATCAACTATTGCCCTTTCCTGCCTGCCTTTCATCTGAATTGCTGTGATACCCCCACGGAGCCCTACAGCAATATTTCTGCTACTGCACCTGATTTATTGATGGTGTAGGTTGTTTCCATGCCAGCGTGGATGTGGTCGGCTACATGACAGTGCAGGAGCCACGTTCCAGGGTTTTCTGCTATAAGTTCAACTGTCTGGAAAGTCCCAGGAAAAAGGTCATACACGTCTGCTCTGTGGTCCTTGTCTGTCTGTGGCAAGGCAAAACGAGCACTGTGAGAGTCTCACTCTGCTCCAACACGGCCCCATGCACTGAGATATTCCAGTTAGACTGCTAGCAACTTGAGGTAGGTGGGAGGCTTCTGGTAGGTTTGTACTATGTCTTATGCAGGGGTCTGAGGCTCATGGGCTGTCCTCATTTAATCAGTTAATTAATTAACAACAGGAGACATTTCCTAAGGACTTAAGGTCTTAGTGGAGTGCATTTCTCTGAAAGTCAGATTCTTCAAATAGTCCTGCCAGCATCAAACTGTCACTGCTTTAAACCATAATGTAATCAGGCAATACACACTCCAGCATCCATGCATCGTCACTTATACCTAAGGGGAAATGTGTAATTTAATCCACCTAATCATGTCCTCTGCTGATTCACTTATACCTAGGGGCCTAATCCACCTATACCTATAGGGGCCTATACCTAATCCACCTAATCATGTCCTCTGCTGATGACATTTATACATGTTTCATAACAGGCCCATAGTGGCAGAAGCTCTACCAAATTCTCAATCATTCTGTACTTTCTTCCCATGCAAAACTCCTGCCAATCTCAGCATTAGCCCAGAGCTATGAGCACAAGGTGCACAAACACAACAGAATCTGGGAGGCTTTGCAAAAATTTCCGATTGTATTGTAAAAAACAAACAAGCAAACAAAAACCCCTGCAACTTTGATTTATTTCACCAACCTTGAAGATGAAGGTCTGGGCATGGAAATGGACTGTATGTACATCAACTTCATTGCCCATTCCTATCAAATACCAGTTTGTTGTATCACCTTCATTCATCGTTAGACTCAGAAGACTGTTATAGATCTTCCCGTTGATTGCTAGAACGACAAAACAGGATGGATCAATCACTATCTGCTTCATGTCAGGCTCTGTTCTGGCTTCCTTGGTGCAAGGAACAGGTAGGGAGGATAGGACAGGCACCACGCAGCCAGGGCAAGGGCTCTCCAGGGTGGCTGCCATCCTGGCAGGGAGACAGAGCAGTTTTTTGCTTCAGTTTCCAAACTGTGTATCATTAAAGTGCACATTAATTTACCTTGAAAAACACAGGATAACATTTTAATCTGTTAAGACTGAGCTCCTGGGCAGAGAGGATTAATGCCAAGAACCCACAAGGAAGCAGGAGGAATTGAACTGTTGCCTAAAATGGGCACAATGTGTAGAAACAAACGTTTTGTTTGGCTTGGGCTGCTCCTGCCCCCATTCAGTCTGTTCTGCCTGGGCTGATTGCTACTCTGGCTACAGTTTCCAAACACCATCGTCACACTCCTACCACGCAAGCCAGCAGGGAATGCAGCTCTGAAGTGACAGAGAAGTCTAATTTTAACCACAGCTTAAAATTAAATTAACTTGTTAGAAAAAAAATATCTTGCTGGGTCTCATGAAAATTTCTGCTTTCCAGTTTTGCACTTCATGAAGATGTCACATGGCTGGGTGGTTGCAGGCTAAATGTGGTGTCTTCCTAAAAGGGCTGTCAAAAATAACCCCCTATCCTCTTGGCTGCTGCCTGAGTCCTACATACCATGCTTGCAGTTGCCTTCCACAAAGTTCTTTGTGTGATTAAAATCATCAGGATTCTTATGAAGGTATGTTTCAATATTTTCTTTCAAATACCAGGATTTATTTTCATCGAACACCATGAATAGAAGTGTAAATTCACGATCAATGTCTTTCCTTAGACCATTTTCATTTAGAATTCCTTTTCTGCAAATTACGAGAGGCCCGATCAGACCACTGTATGTGTCCTGGAATAAAATGAATATTTGTATTACAGATTTGCTAGCTTATCCAGATTAACTACACATGAAATAAAGATGAAATTCAATTTTCCTATCAGGCAAAAAAAAATCACTGATCTGTCTAATTTGAGAAACCTTTCTCTATATTTTAGATTTTAAAGACCCCAAACAATGTTTTTCTCCCACCCAAACTCCCTTCAATTACACTTTAAGAAAGAAATTACACTGATTCAGCTTATCCCAGGGTTTTCAATAGATTACATTACCCAAAGGTGGACAATATTAAATATTACAATATTATCAAATATTATTATATTATTAATATATTTTATGTATTATATATGTGATTATTTAATTATATATAATTATAATTATTATATTATGTATTTTATATATTATCAAAGAATACAAAGCATCTAGCTTTGTAAGTCCTTCCTCTAGCCTGTGGTCCTTAAATAAATGAGAAACATTTCAAAAACATTAGGCAAGATAGGATGCTTTGTCCAAAACAATATCCAAAGCAGTGTGATGACTATTTCCTGGTTACCTTTACAAAATTTGCTGTTGAATAGTAAACCCAAGTGATACAGTTTGGATCTGTTTTCCCTGGGCCTGATCTTTCTGGGACGTTCCACCTGTAGGTATTTATTTCCTCTGAAACAGAGAGAGAACAATTTCACTGAAAGCAATTGGATTTGGGGAGCTTTGAGTAGTAACTGGATCCAACAGCCTCCCAACTAAAAAGTGATTTTCATTGCACAGTTTTGCCTTTAGGTGTCAGGCAGGTCCCAGTGCTGTAAGTGAAGGCAGGTATGACCCAAAAAAAGAGTTCTGCAAATGATGCTGAAAACAGTGGCATTCCCCAGAGCAAAGTCTGGAGATTTCACTTTTCGTCTTTCTTCTTGGGCAAAACTTTTAGTAGATAAATGGTCTTTGAAGCCAATGTTTAAAGCTGTCAGGAGCCAAATTCCAGAAAATATTCCCTTGGCTGTCTCATTTAAATGTCACTGCCTAAAAATAGCTTGTATTTGAGGGAGTTAAAAACAACATGAAGATGTCTGCTCACATATGAAGATGCCACAGCACAGTTTATCTGATGTCAGCATCTCCAGTTTTGTGCTGACCTTTTATTTTACAAAATAAAATAATTGTATGGACAAATTATGTATGTTGTGTTCCTCCAGTTCGATTTTTTGCTGGTGTCAGAGGGGAAGATAGAAAACAAAGATGCGGTCAACACCTTGTCCTTTTAAGTGTTGGACAAATGTTGAACAGGCAATTTCTGGCCCAAAGATCTTCTAGGATCACATAACTTGAGCACAACCAAGGCTACACTACAAGTCAGGAGAAACCAAAGAAATCATGAAACTGTTGGCCTTAGTAGAGGTGCTACCCAGCAGCTGTCAACAGCTGTGAGCATCATGACAGAGGAGAGTTTTCAACCTTTATTTCTAAAGCAGCTGAGGTAGCTTTGTGCTGCTGAGACGTTAGATCATTATAATGGATTGTGTAATATTGTGTTTTATGGTATGGCAATAATTGCAAAAAGAGAGATGATGACTCTCAGATATCATATTGCGTAGGATAAGGCTCATATAGATGCTGCAGTACCAGTTAATCTTACAGGATGAGCCCCTTCTGTGAATGATAGCAGGGGTTTAGGTACTTAAGCAGAGATTAGCAAGGCTTTTAGGACGGCATCTTCTGTACCGTCTAGCCCTCATATTTTGGGTGTACCAGAAAGGTGTTTGGCCACCCTCCAGTTCATGATGTCTGCGAGTGTTGCTTGTTTGCAGGTATAACAGCCTATCCAAGACATGAATGCTTCAGGAGATACTGCTCAGAACAGGTCAGCAGAGTTTTCAACAGTAGTACCTAATGTGCAGGAGACAAGTGAGGGAAGATGGCTTTTTCTTCAACACACTTAAGATTTTCAAGGATATGCTCTGCCAAGAGAAGTAATCTTGCTAATGTCACAGTATCTTGGAGGAACAAAGGAAACTTAAATCCTGGAAAGACTGATAAACAAGAGAAAAGTGGATTTCCCTCTTTTCTTTTGGTTAAGTGGGGCAAGGGACAGAAAGAGGATGAAGCTTTGGCAGCCAAGAGACGCTTTGATGTAGGATCCTGTGAGTCTCTCCCTGCATCTGTCATGAACGTGTCATGCACTGTTCCTTTAGGAAACCGGCAGTGCTCTAGGAATTATGAGTCTGGTAAAGCAAATTTATAAGAGATGACTTGCTCAGTATTTAGAAGGGATGGGTATGAGGAGCTTAGCATGGACAGTCCAGCTGGGGTTAGGAAAGCCGGCTAGCAAGGAGCTAAGCGAAGGGACTTCCAGATGATGGTGTCGAGGACTGAGATGCCCAAAGACTATTCTTGTTCTGAGGTGATTGATTAACTTGCTAAGTGCTATTTCTGTATATATAACTGATGACTTGCTCAGTATTTAGAAGGGATGGGTATGAGGAGCTTAGCATGGACAGTCCAGCTGGGGTTAGGAAAGCCGGCTAGCAAGGAGCTAAGCGAAGGGACTTCCAGATGATGGTGTCGAGGACTGAGATGCCCAAAGACTATTCTTGTTCTGAGGTGATTGATTAACTTGCTAAGTGCTATTTCTGAACATCTAAATAAAAGTCAGTGCTTAGACCTTGCTGAAGAGGCCTTTCCTTTGGCTTATTGTCAAACCTGACCTGTGCTGACGCCTTACTTCATCTAAGCCTGCTCTTCATTCTTAGGATGCTCTTACCTCATCCTAAGCCTGCTCTCGTGTGGCTATGAGAGACATTGCAGTGTTGCCTCTGATATTACCCCACAGCTGTCAACAAAGGAGCATTAAGACCAACACAGAGCAAAGAACTAAACAAAGGAATTACATAAGACTAGCTCTGTTTTTTTATATATTTACCAGAGGTATGCATTTGTCAGACTCCAGCAAGCCAGACACAGGCTTGGGTCTGGCCATGAATTTTTGTGTGACTGTACTGTCTCAGCATAGCTACACAAAAGAAGCACCTTGCAAAGAGGCTGGAAGAGCTTTTCCCCGCTTTGAGACTGAAGCTCACAGATACTGTGAAAGAAAACTCCAGGGGTAATAGAAAGCAAAGGTGGGTGCATTCTGGGTTGACTATAATACCCATTTTTGAGTTTGCCTTTCTATTATAATGTAGAACTCAATATAATAATTGAAAAAAATATGCAATTGTTAAAAAGGTACTTCTCCAAATGACAATATAAAAAAATGGATGCTGTGAGAACTACTTCCTTCCATTCTCCTGACTAAAAGCTGAGGCATATTTGACACAGTTTTTCAAAGACTTTTAACTGATGTGGCAAACAGCTCGATTTTACGTTTTAAGCCTCAGCTCTGAATGGAGATGCCAGTTCTGTGCAGATTAACAAAGAAACACAGTCAATATTTCTGACTGCAACTTTACCACTGAGTCACTCCATTTTGTAAATACTATTTGAGTGCCAGTCCTGAGTGAAATGCAACACTAGCCTAGGCTTCTTTTGCAGGGATTATGGGCTCCCTCCTGCTTTTTTGGAGGAGATCCAGAGATACTACATTACTGTGTCTATCCCTCACGAACAAAGATTCGCTCTTGCCCTAACATGCTTAAGTAATCAAGAACCTACATGCTTGAGAACACAAAGAATCGCATATAAATAAACTTTGAATGTACACTTGGAAGAACATAGAGGTATGAGGAAGCTTGAAACAGGGTATATTATACAAGTATTTTTATAGCAGGTTTTTGTAGCTCAAGCAGAAAACAAACAAACAAACCCCCCAAAACAACAAACTTACCTGGTAGGGTAATTGGTGTCTCAACCTGTTCTTCGCAACCCACTTCTTCTATACCATGTGCCGTTATTGAATAAGGCCGGCTAGCTTTGTTCTTAAATACAATCAATATAGTCTCACCAACCTCTGCATGCAGCAGTGGGCCTAAATTAAAACAAGAGTCTCTAGTGATTAATACAGCTATTACAAATTGAGAAAAAAATGAAGTTAATCAAGAAATATGTTTTCTATTATTATTTATAAGCTATAATATTAGCTAACCTTGAATTTAAGAGCTGTCCTCTGTGAAATGCCATGGCTGTTTACAGTGCAGATTAAGAGAATTTTTTGTGATCTGCAAGCTGATTCTGTGAACAAGATTTCCAAGGGTCTCTTCAATAATAGATTTCTGACAGTTCAAAAAAATCACTGTTTTAACAAACTGAGTACTTTGGCCATAGAAAGAAGCAGTGGTCCTTTTCAAAAGCCTCATGTTTACTGTTCTTTCAGCTATGCCATCAAAATCTGTCAGTTACCCCAGCGGACAAAACCGATCTTTTTACTTTTTGGGTGATGAGAATTGTTCACTCTGGAGACAAGTCTTTGGGTAATACTTTTTTAGGGAGAAGTCTTGTGAATAGTTTTTGCAACTCAACTATTTTTTTTTAATTGGTAACTGCTTTTCTTTCTTTTTGGGGAAAATTAAGCTACTTATTTTTTTGGTTTTGTACTGCAAAAAAAAAGGAAATGTCCCTGCTCTATGCAAAAAAAATCAGTACCATTAGAAATATTTTTAAAGAAAGTTAGTCATTTTAAGAATAGTTGTTCCCCACTTCTCATCCCATAAAACACGAGTTGATAGTTGTTTTGTAACATGCACAATCTCAAATTGTGTAAATTTTGATCTGCACAATCCCAGTACAAACCAAGCACCTTAACATCTTCTCTATTCTACAAGCATCTCCAGATCACATGCTCTGATCTAAGGCAAATACTAGAATTTCCATTTTCACTTCCTCCCTGTAAGAACCTCCCTGTAAGAAGAAAGATAATCTTTCTTCATTTGGGAATGAACCATTAATTTGGAAAATGTCTTTACACTCAGCACTTAGTTAAACAAACTGGGTGTAAAATCACTGATAAGCAGGAAGAGGTGTCAGTGCAACTTCTTTTCCTTTCCAAAGCTGGGGAGAGCTTCGTTTTTGGAAAGTGATCCTCTCACTTTTTAGGCTCAGTCTGTGAGCCCTGAGAGCTACTTGCCCATGATTTCCAAATGTTCCTCCTCCTCGGTCCTCACTTTGCGCTGGGTGAAGTTGCCATTTGTGTACTCCCTGTAAACAACCTTCTTGTATTTGGAACCAATCAGGTCTTCTGTTTGGCTCAGGAAAACATGCCCATAGCTGCAGAATAAAAAGGTGGAAATTAAAAACTTTATATATCCAAAGACTAATAAGTGTTGTGTTGTTCATAGCAGATGCAAACAGAAGCAAAAGAACATACAGGTTGGTCATATATGGTGATGTACTGCAAAAGATGTTATGCAGCAAATATCAGCAATAATCCTTGCTGAATGCACACTCTCTCCAGACAGGTAAAGCCTGGAATATATTGCACTTATCACCAACTTTTGGAAGCACAAGTCCTTCACCAGAGTTGACAAAGCAGAAACAAAGTTCAAATTAATTAAAGCCCTCTTGCCAGCTCTATCGTTCATTCCAATAAGAGAGCGTCTTTTCCTGGAAACATCAATTCCCCAATTATGGTGGCTGCTTTCGCTGTCTTGTGTATTAATCAGCCACCTGAAGATGATAACTGCAGCCAGATATGCAATACAAAATGCTGCTATCGTTTGAGACAGGGGCTGTGTGTCCTCACCCAGCTGGGCTGGCAGTGCTCGGAGCAGTGCTGCTGCTCTCCTGCACAGGCCAGCACCTACATTGTGCCAACTGCACCCAGCGGTGAGAAACGTCTTTTTCTTTCTGGATCTGGCTGAGGATGCCTTTCTTAGCACCCAGGTTTACCACTACCACTGCATTTTTGGTTGATGCTCCTGCTTGGTGAAAGAAGACCGACTTGCCAGCAGAGGACACTCCCAACCAGCTAAAGAGGAGAGTACTCGACACTCTGAGAGCAGAGCTATCGCATGGTGTGTCATCTCCAAGGCCCGCTGCCAGAGCAGTTTTCAGGTTGTGTCACAACATACATAAAAAGAAAGGCTCCATCAATACTCATTTAATTTACGTATAAGAGTAACCTTTTAGCTACTGGAGTTAAGGTATTCTCCAAATGCATTTCTTGATCACCATTAGAAGAGACTCCACTTGTGATGCTTCAGGTGTGTTTTCTACTGCTTCCACTGTATACTTGCTCCTTTATTGAGTGCCATTGCTGAGCCATATTTCTAACTTTAGTCTTCCAAATATGTTTCCCTTTTGTTCCTTTAAGTTGTCACCAAAGGCAAATGTCTCAGAGCTGTCCATTTTTAAATTACATTTTCTCTCAGGGAAATTATTTGATTCAGCAAGCTGCTTTCTGAAAAGCACTAGGTGAGCTTCATGGGAGGATGTTTCCAAGTTCCCTCTCGAGCTATGAATGTGTCCCACACCCACAAGCCTTTTTTTTTGCCTTCAGTACCTTTCTTCATTGCTGCTTATGTTGTAAATCTTGGGTGCCGAGCTCTTGTTTGATGCGTAGTCCCATTCCACCTCCTCTGCAGCGATGTAGTACAGCCTCACCCCACCATACTGCTGCTTGGCTGGAGTGCTATTGCGGCAACTGCTAACTTCATACAGATGTTTCATCCCACCAACAAAGTGATCAAAAGTCCTGCAGACCACATTGAATGTACCTGGAAAGGAAAGCTCTTGAGATCTAGGTAATCCTAGCAACTCAAAAGCTGGACAGCAAACTCAGTCTGGTGCACTGCACATCTCTGATCTGTCCACAGGCAAACATAAACCATGAAGTAGCACAAAAAACCTAGAGAGTGGATATTTATGTCACCTGGAGGCCTACTAGCTTGTTGCTAATTCCAAAAAACACCCATGGGGGCCTTAATAGATGAAGGGACAACTAGACAATAAAATTTATATGCTAATTTTCTCCTTTAGTCACTATTCTCCTTGGCCCCAAGACTTAGCATGATGGTAATTCAGAATAAAATTTGCGTGCTGAACTGCAAAAACACGCATAAGACTTCTCAGGGTTGTGGTCTATAAAACCTAGGTTCTTCAGGTACGGGCAAAACCTGAGTGCGGATGCAGATCCATAAAACAGCAAGTAGTGTTTTATTCCCTCGGAAAGGCTCTATTTTCCCTCAAAAACTCCACAACTTCTTATTATTTGATCTGGGATAACTTAGCTGGGAGAGCTCTCAAGAGCAGTCAATTGAATGCCTAGCTTCAGAAACAAGCTTGTCAGAACGTCTCTGTTATACTTGCATGTCTCTGCCATGGGCTCTGGGTTCCCAGGTAGGATGTGGTGCTGCCAAGGGAGGGCAGGGCACCGGGCCCGGTTTTGTGGCCATGCCTACAGGGAGCACTGGGGGACACAGGTCACAGCGTAGACTAAGAGCAAGGGGCAAATTTAGCTCGAGGCTGCTGAAAGACATATTGTTGGGTGATTATGGACATTTTCTCAACAGGTTTGGGATGGTTTGAGTTGGTGTAGTGTTTCTGATGACACTGGGCTGGCCTCTGGAAACCTTTGTAGTGCCTGCTCCTAGCAGGTCAGCAGCTTAGCTGTGGAGCTCCAAATATACTTGTAAAATTAGAAGCAAAAGCTCCCTGTACCCAATAGTACTAAGTGTGCATTGCCAGCACTGATTGATAAAGACACAGCCAAACAGCCTGCCTGTGTCAGAGATACCATTTCCTTGTCCCTGAGCAAAGAGCCCCTGTGCTGGCCTTGGAGTGCACGAGAGTCTGGGCCTGTGTGGTTGCTCAGTGTAATATGGTTAATTGAAGCCCCTTAAAAACTTCATAATTCAGATATAGATCAGACATGCAAGATCCATTATAGAAGAATACTTCTAATGAATGGCAAGATCTCATCCCCACAGGCTTGAGCAGATGCTGACCACAACATGGCCCAGTGTAGATCTGCCTGCCAACACTGTCATGAAGCAGGAAGGCATTTTCATTGCTGTTGAATATTGAGGAAGCTGAGGAGTTCAATGAGTTACAGATATCCGACTTTGTAAGTGAGTGATGGAACCAAAACTAGAGGTGTAGCTTCCTCCAGTCTGGGTCTCAGTCCCTCCCTGGTGCTTCTAAGGAAAGTTATGAAAAAAGTAAAAGATCAGTTAGTTAAGAAAACTTACAGTTGTTGGATACCACAAAGAAGTGAAAATTTATTCGTTTTCTCTTACTGCCAGTAGAGGGTTAGCAAGAAATAAAAAATTCATAGAATGTCTTGCTTAGCCTGCTTCCTGCAGGGCCCTTTCATGACAGATGGTGGAGCTGAAGGGATATATGCAAGGAAAGAATCTGTCGCCAGATTCTTCTGGTGTCAGGTAGACCCCAGGGCCAGGTGTCTAACCCTGGGCTTGCCGCATGCACACAGGTCCAACAGTTATTTTTACCGGCTGCTCGGGCCAAAGATGGCTCTCAGCATGGATTGCAAAACTCTGGTGACACCACTGATTTAAACAGAAATGGAAAGAAAAGTGACATTGCACTCTAGCTTAAAGCTTATCTGAAGCTTCCCCAACCAAGAAATCATAACGTTAATCTTGAAAAATATATCCCTGGATTATACATGAAAATTAAAAATACTCCAGAAGAATCTCCTATACAGTAGATACTTTTGAAGTTCTAAAATATCTTTAAAAGTATTGACTACCTACATGGCAGAGAATTCCAACTTTTCTTAAAAAAGCTTTTTTAGGAGTTATGGAAATCTTGTGAGCATCCCTTTGGGTATCGGTCTGTCTGCTGATGTACCTTTCCCAAGACTCTGGTCTTTGGTACATATTTAACTTACAACTCTTGTGCAAAAAGTTCCCCAGCCTGATTTCTCAATTATTTCTCAATTATGCTAAGTTTCCCACAGCCCCTGCACTCTCTCGTGCTCCCAGAACAGATTAGAGCATCTCATTGTAAGTGTTATTTAGGCTGCCTGATTTCTGCAAATGCCACAGCACTAAGATAAGCTCAGGAACATACCCACGCGGTCTGGCTGCATCAGTGCTGTTCCTGATAAATGAGGAAACAAGGCCAGGCCATCCCTTGTTGTCCCTCTCAAGGTGATGGTGTTTCCTTGGAACTGAACTCCATGCATGTCGTAGTGACTGCCCAGCCCAATGAGATGCCAAGAAACCTTGTCATCCTTGCACATGGCCAAGCCTGGCAGATTACCAAACAAGTATCCATTGACAGCTGAAGGAGACAGAAAAAGTCTGGTTAGTAGAAGACAGATGGTATTTCAGGAAATAACCTCCCAGCATATTTGTGACTGAACAAGTCACAGCACAAATTAAAGGGACATTTGTGAAGCAAAGGTAGCTCTGACTGACCCCAAATTAATGCTTCAATACTATTCCTGTAAACTCTGACTGTCTACACTTCTTTTTGGCCAGTAAAATGGGATTTTATACTGACGTAGCTTTTCAAAGTGCTTCACAGACACCAGTTAAGTCTATAAATTAGGTATCTACTTTCATTCTAGAGAAAATATTATCTTGTCATGAGGTCACAAAATGGACCATAAGGAGTCTGAGTTACAATTTCAACTCTGAAGCAGCATTCCTGTGTGATTTTGACATTCGATTTCCACTTTGGTTTCTGTATGAATCTCCTTCCTTCACAAGTGAGGCTGAACTCACTAATTCTTGAAAACTTTCTAATTCTTCGAAGCTCTTCATGATCACCGGATAAAAGATACTGGGGCAGAATAAAACTTTACTGTGGGATAACTCATCATAACATAAGAATACAATAAATAGTCCAGAAAGCCCAATGGTGGAATCACTCCAGGGTGCCCAGTCGTGGGAGGTGCTCTATATACTGTGTGTTGCCCAATGATGAATTTATAGGAAATGCATTAAAGCAGGTGGAATCACTCCAGGGTGCCCAGTCATGGGAGGTGCTCTATATACTGTGTGTTTCATGCCCTTTGCTTATTATCTGTTGATGACCAACACATATTTTCAATGCTGTCAGGAAAACTAAGGCACAGAGAAGTTAAGTGATTTGCTCAAGTCTGTCATGTCTGAAATAATTATGAGGATGTCTACACAGAAGTGATGCTTTAAAACACTATTGGCCATTTCCCCAGTCTTTGCTCTTCCAGTCCCAGAGACGGTCACTGCTCAAGAGAGACTTGGTAGAACACAGTGGGTGGATCTTCATTAGCTGATTCACTGTAAAGTCCTGCAGCTAAATTTAAATCACCATTGAATGTGAGCTTTCCTGCAGCTGGTGTCTGACTATAGCACTATGCCTGGGTGTCCTGTAGACCCAAGTGTAATATCTCAAAGCTAGACTCTGTCCCTTTTCCCCAGGTATACTTGATAGGTGGATTTTTAATGGGATTAAGGATTCCATGTGAATTCAAAAGACATCAGAAGTTGACTGTTGTGTCTGCCAGCTTTCTCCTTCACCCTCAAGTGCAATAGAGTCATCTAAGAATGATGATAAAATCAGCTGGCTTGTCTTCCTATGTGATTGCAAGAAAGGTCTTACTGACAGATGCTTGATTTTTCATACCATGCATTTTGTTGGATTCTTTGAAATCTTCATTGTCTTTGTCTACTTTTGAAGGGTCACCAGTAAAGGCTTCAATATTTTTATTCAGATACCAGCTGTCATTCTCATCGAAGATTGAAAAGAGCAGATAAAATTCTCTGTCTATTCCTTTCTGTAGCCAGGAAGAAAAACAAGGCATTAGACATTAAAACCAAAGTGTGTGCAGAAACACTCAAATAAAAAAGGCTTTTTTAACATAACTTTCCCTCAAACATTACAATAAAAACACAAACTGTTACAGTAGTTGTCAGTCTTATTCTTGTTATGTCCTTATAGAAAAGGAGACTGGCACTCTTCCATTAGCCAAAAGATTAAACCTAGGACAATCATGATTTCATGTCTAAGGACCTTGTGTTCTACTCTGGTTCTTAGAGTAGAGTCTTCTGGTTTGTCTAGCTGCTTTTATTTGTGTTTGTTAATGTGCTTCATAACATTCTTATAGGTGTTTTCATTTCAATCTCCACTGCATAATTTAAACTATAAAATGATACACGGTTCTTCAGTACAATATCAAAGTCACAAATCTGGAATTCTGAAAACATTCAGCTACAGATTTGGACCAATAGTTTTCATCAGACTCTGTCTTAAACTTGGATCCAGATCTGAACAACCCAGTGTACAGGCAAAATCAGAATCTGGTGGGAACTTCAAAACTTGTGAGACTTGTCAGGCCTAGACAATTGCTTTGTAAAATATAAGGGAAGGAGGAAAAAGGTGGGAATCATAGAATCACAGAATGCTCAAGGTTGGAAGGGACCTCTAGAGACCATCTAGTCCAACCCTGCTGCACATGCAGGGTCACCTAGAGCACGTGGCACAGGACTGCATCCAAGTGGGTTTTGAAGATCTCCAGAGAAGGAG